CCCTACATTTGAACCCTAAAGTTCAAAGTGGGGATCCAGCCTTGACACATGGTGTTTTTAACCTACTGAGAAGACTCCTCCAGGAGTTTTTACAAATCTGAATCCACTAATATCCAAAGTATTGTAGTGAAGTATGTGAGAGAAACATAAGTCTGAATGGTTTAATGTATTAGTTCTTTACTGCGAAATTATTTAAATGTTATTTATTGAAAAATAAGGAATATTTTGTTGAAAATGTGACCTCGTGATTTTTTGTGTGTGTTTTGTAAGGGACTTATTCAGCTCCCAATGAAATCTATGAACAGACTCCTACAAAATTCACCAGGAGTTTTTTTCCCCATAAGTGGTTGGTTGTTCAGGAGTTTATTTGGTTTTTGTTTTGCCATGTCAAAACAACCAGGCTAACAGATGATAGTTGACAGAATTGTTGTATTTTACTCTTTTTGAAAGATAGGAACTACATTTGTTAATTTTCAGTCCATGACTTTTCAAAAATAATTACCATTAGTTTAGTAAATTCATTAGCTAATTCTCATAGGACACACAGATATATATATATATATAATCTGGATTTGCTGTTTTATATAGATTTCAGCTTTTCCTCTCAGCCTTCATTTGTCTGCTTTTTACCAATAACTATACTGACAAGGGGTAGAATTTTCTAAAGCACCTAAGTCCCATTTTCAAAAGTGACTTTCAAAACTTGGCTTTAATGGTGCCTGAATCACCTAGGTGCCTGAGTCACTTTTGAAAATGGGACTTGGGATCCTAAATCACATAGACTCTTCTGAAAATTTTACCCAAGGTTTACATTATTTTTAGCTTTTTTTTTTTTTTTTTTGGTTGAGACAAAGGTCTTGATTCTGCAGACACTTACACACATGCATACTTTTGCTAATATGAGTAGTCCCAAAGAAATCAATGGCAATGCTTACATGAATACAGGTCCATACATGATTAAGTGTTTTCAGAACTGGACCTAGAGGACTCAACAGTGAGCCACCCAGGGTCCTGTGAACTCATTGCATACGATGTTAAATTCAAGTAGCTTAGCTGCACTAAGCCCTTTTGGCTTCACACTCGCATTCATTCCCTCCCTGTTTATAAGAACTACATCCAGGATGGCTTATCCTCTGGTTGGATTTTCTGATTTTTGGATCATGAGTTTGTCCTCTATATAATTTAGGGATGTCTTTGACGATCCATGTTTCGCTATCTTTGTCAGCCACCAGATGTTTGGTTGGCTAAAGTCACTCATGAGTACAGTATCCTGTGGTTTTAAACTCCCAGTAGTTATTCTGGGATTCATTTTTTTTTACATTCCTCTCATCCACTCCCAGTGGTCCATTGCTAAAGCCCACTACAAATTCTCCTTTGTTTTTAATTTACTCTACCCTGTCGTGGAAAAATCACCCACACATTGATTTTAGTTCACAGACTCAAACCTGAGGCCTTTATTGCAATACATACCAACGCGTTGGTGGTAGCAATCCGAAGATTACCACACCTAGCGCAGACTGCCTTTATTCCGTCAAACCGCAAGCACAGTACAAATTATACATCATTTACGAGAAATTAAAGTTGAGGTCAGCCCCCCTATTCCCGGCACCTTCCTTATTATTTTACGAGAATTGGGTACATATTAGGTAAGGGGTCACTTGGTGTTTTCCATTATGGGTGTTACTTGGCACCTTTCCCGTTAGAGTACATATCATCTTTCCGGGTTTTACGGTTATGGGCATAGGGGGTTAACAAAGGACGCCCGAAGAAGATATATGATTGGCTGATTTTGCAGATAGCTAGAACTACAGGAGAAGTTGGCCTTTGCAAAGCAATTTCTTCATATTAAGCGGTTATTATATTTCATAAACAAGCGGTTATTATGTTGCTAAAGCAGTTATTATGTGCAGAGGTCTCTTGCATTGTTTACTCTCCCTCCCTCCTCTGGCCACAACCCTTGACCGAATTTGGCAGAGAACTCTGTAGTTTAGTCTTGTTCAGGCCCTGGCCTGTACTGTTTTTTGTAAGGGCAGTCAGCATAACAGACCTCTGTTAGAGGGTCCGATTTTAGGCCTTTAGAATTATTTTGGCTATTAAAAGGAAGGCCCCCCAGTTCTTTTTTCCCACAACCCTCATTGCAAATATTTCACTACCACCCTCCTCGTTGTCACATTGTATATTGCTAGTCTTGTAAGTATGCGTGACATATTGCACCTATCCCTTCACCTTTTCTTCCTTTTTTTCTTTCTCTCATACACACCACATCTATCCACCGTGGGCACATTTAAAAAGTTCATTCTGGTTGTAGATATATTACTGGTTCTAGCAAAATTCTCCCTTTTCATTTAAGGGAATATTACTGGATCTGGTAATCATACTAGAATATTGGTGGATCTAAAACCAGAATGCATTTTTTTTAAAGTGTGCCCGTAGTATATGGACACTCCAGTTACAAGAATCATCTCATGATGTCTCAGATGTAGTCACTACTTCATACTCTTCCTGTGTTCTATGATTCTTCTTGTCTAGGAAGTGAAAAATTCTCACTCATGGTGCTTTCAAGAGCCCACATTCACCTTTTTTCTATGTTAAAGACTGGTGGCTGCATTTCACTGGTGAGTGAAATGATGCCTGTGTATATGATTGGCACATCTTTGGGGATCCTTAGGAATGAAGGGCGCTCTGTAAAAATGAGGTGTTGTTTGCTCTTTATTCTCCCCGCCACAACAAACAGGTGCTTTTTACAAAAATGTTTGTGAAAATGGAAATCTGTGAGTGTGTGTTTCCAATCCTTTTGCGACAAGGACCTTTTCTTTACTTTGGCTGCATCTGGGGCCCTTTAAATTCAGCTAACAAACAAACACGTCTTTCCGTAATCTTGTCAGGCCACCAGTGGAAGACAGTCAAACCCTTTTGACCCCCGTGGTGAGCTGTGGGCCTCCAGGAGCGTTGCTGACACGGCCTGTCATTCTAACTATGCACCATTGCGCAGAGCCAAACACAGAGGACTGGAAGATCCAGCTGAAGAACCAAGCAGCCCAGGGACAGTGGGAGGTGAGTTCACAGTGAAATCACAGACTTCCAGCATATGCCCTGACTGAACACAGCACTCAAAAAAAAAACCCCAAACATATACGTATAACTGTGATGCCTAAAGTTTGGGATTTTCATGGGTGAAACGTTTTGCTGGCAATCGACTCAGCAGTGCCCTCGGGTATCTGTGTGGTTATACAAGCACTGGAAATAGTTACCTGGTGCACTGGGGAGCACAGGCCTCTCAGCTCTGGATAACTCAGTTCAAAATATAATTCAGATCAAAAGTGAAATGGACGTGGGGATCTGACCCAGTCTTTATTGCACTTTTGTTTGTGACATAAAATGAATATCGTGGCACAATTCAGCATGACTAGCCAGGTCTGCTCAAAAGAGGCCTGGGGGTACATCAACAGCCTTGTTTGGGGGAAACTTGCACAGTGCTTTCTGCCTGGCTCTGCTTTGTTAACGACCAGGTGGATTTACCCTTTGAGAACGTAACCTTCACCAGGCTGGTCTCATGCACAAGAGAAATATTTAACCCTAGGGCTGCCAGCTTGCCACAGCACTTAAGGACAGTGAGTTTCATCTTGAATCTTCATGGAAGGTTGCTTGTATTTTTCTTTAGCTCCTCTCTTCCCCTATCTCTGTAGTTTGCTCTGTACTGAGGAGCGCTCCTGGTCAATGCGTGCTATTTCAAACGAGTGCACACAAACAGGAGGATTGGAATTAAACCTGTCTTTTTAGATTTATCTCATCTTCCTTTTCCCTGGCTACCAAACAAGAGACATTGAACATGCCCTGCAATACAGAAGGAGCTTGTAACACTTCAGTGCTTTGTCTGAGACAGAGAAAGAAATATCTGTGCAATATGAACCAGGGATAAACAGCAAATAGTTTTACAGCTGATATATAAGGACTGGTTTTCTATAAATATAGACTTTCACTAATACTAAAACTGTGTGCCAAAACTCATAATAGTAAATGGCAGTGCCATTTTCAGGTTACAGTTCAAATGACAGGAAAACTATTGATTACCCATTGGAGGAATCCAACTCACTTGTTAATGGAAATACACTTTTCCTTAGAAGTCTCTTTTAAAACATTGTAAACTTAGCTTGCATTACACAAAAGGTTTAGAGTTTGGACTCGGTGTGGATAAAAATCTAAAGGTTGAATCTTTGGCCAAACCAAGAATACCACTTAAGCAGTTTCATAAAGACATGTGTTCTCAAGAGAGGTTTAATACCTCCTGCTTCTGGTTGGCTAGATACAGAAGCACAATGGCTTCTTTGTGGGATTCCGACACGTCAGGTTTCAGTCGCAAGCTGGAGGATTCTCTGCGACTTGAAGTCTTTAAATCACGATCTGGAGACTTCAACAGCTGAGTTAAGGGAAAGTGGGTGGGTCAGCTTTTGTGGCCTGCATCATGCGGGAGGTCAGACTAGATGACCACAATGGTCCCTTCTGACCTTAAAGTCTATGAGTCTATGAGTCTTAGCTGGCCACAATGGTGAAGTGATGCGGGGAGAAGGTAGGAAGAAAGAAAGGACAAATGAAAAATATTGGGAAAAAGTCAGTTCTGGATCAATTCTAGAAGAGGGAATGTATTTTCCAAACTGGTTCCTACCTCCCTAGTTTGTATTGCTGTTTTCAACAGGGTAACAGATGATAACAATGCTGCAAACAATCCTCAGCTGCAGGACCTGGGCTATCTGAGTGTATTTAATATTGAGTATAGTCCATCTCTCTTCCTCGCTATTCTCAGAGTGCAGTAAGCTGCTCAGACTGTTGGTGTATCACTGCTTCTTGATCTGAGGCATGCAACCAGAATGCAGCATTACAGACTCATAGAGTATTAGGGCAAAACACACCTTGAGGAGCTTAACGGGATGCTTGAAGTCAGTGCTGGTAATGCCTGAAGTAACTGGATCCAAGGGTTAAGGAAGTGGTACAATGCTCCTGTGCCAAGAGTTTCTTATTTTAACAGGAAGAGACAGTGGAGGTATCTACATTGTATGTACATTTTGTCAGACCCCACCTCCCCTAACCATTCTCCTGGCAGACTTGTTTGCTTCTGAAAAGCCTGTTTTGTTGCCATCATCAGTTCTGTCTCTCTCATGAAATTTGGCACCCTCTGACTTCCTCCTCTGAGTAGGTTCTAATGAGGGCAGTGTGACTGACATGGGCACCTGGACTGACAGCAGCAAGGACCCATTTCCAGGGTTATCCTTGAAAGAATATTGCCTGTGGCATGAGCTTTTCTCCACACTGGGATCGTTTCTGGGCCAGTGAATTCATGCACATCTAGCTGACTAATCTGCACTCCAGTGGAGTATCTCCCAGCACTGTACATATGTTTCTTATTTGTTTTGTGTTCATTGCTGGCATCCCCTGATTTTTTTCCTCCAGTCTCCCTTTTTGTCCTTGAAAGAGCTGTTGCCCTGCTGGAGGTACCCATGCTGACACCAAACCTGTGCTTGCATGCTGCCTGCAGAGTCCACAAGGTCTGTGGCTCCAGTACAGTGAGTCTCATCTTCTCTCTTCTGGAACAGCTCTTCCATCTCTATCCCCCAACAGATGCTTAGATTGCCGTAGGCAAGGAGTTCCTGCCAGGGCCAACACAACTGTTTCATGACGCGGCCAGTAGAGGGGGTATAATCAGCATTGCAGATGGCAACCTCTCTTCTGCCCTTGAGAAGGTGATGTCACCTTTGCAAATGTGCTGCATTCGCCCTTCCTTAGCCTGGGATCCTGAATCTGCTCCCAAACTCGGGTTGAATCCAGCTGCTCGGTCCGCTGCCAGATACCTGCTCCTCACCTCATGACAGCAAACACAGGGTGGTTGAGTTCTGCAGAGCCTCATGCAGCCCAGAGCTGCTTTTGCAGAACCACAATCTATTACTATCACCTTTTATTTATTTTTGCCAATTATTTAAAGTACATTGTGCCACGTGGAGACTATAACGTACAGTTTTCAATGGGGGAAATGGCATGGGGGCTGTTTTCTTCTAAGCAGAGGGAAGAAGGTGAAAAAGCGTCTGTTTGTATTTGATTTGTATGTGTTTTGCCTTGGCCTGGCAGTCTTGTCATGGGGGATTATTCTGATGTAGCAGCAGGTGATATTCTTTGTACATGTGGCATTCAGCAATCACTGAGGTTACTTCTGTCTGAGTTCTAAAACCACTGATTATGAAAATTAAGAAATTAAGACTCTTATTATTCACTTAGATAATGTATTGAGTGCTCATGTCTGGAGCTGGTCAAATAATATTCCTCAGATAGGTCATTCAACAAATGTTGTTGCATTTTTCCTGCAAAATTTTCGTGATATTTTACATAATTTGCCCTGCTCTGCTCATCACTTTAAAAGCACCTACATGCTGCACATAAAACAATCATAAATTTTATGTAGCCAATGGCAGTTATAAACCATCAGCACACAGCTCCATCTCCCTGTACCAGCCCAGAAGGGAATCTAGAAGCAGAGGAATGTTAAATGTTGATTAATAAAATGACCCAGACAGGAAGGACTTAAGATAAATTCTGGGATTTGCATGAGCATCTATGGCAATGGAGTTCTGCAGTCAAGGCCCTATCTCTGAGTAGGCTTTGTCTGGCCCCTACCCCAATCCTGATTAATGCAAAACAAATGGGCTTCTCTGGTGTCTGGCCTGGGCTCTCTAACTCTGCCTGTTTATCCCTTAGGACGTGGTGATGGTTGGAGAGGAGAACTTCACCACTCCATGCTACATCCAGCTAGACCCAGAATCCTGCCATATCCTGACAGAAACACTTAGCACCTACGCCCTGGTGGGACAGTCAACCACCAAAGCAGCAGCAAAACGTCTCAAGCTGGCCATCTTCGGGCCGCTCTCCTGCTCATCGCTGGAATACAGCATCCGAGTCTACTGCTTGGATGACACTCAGGATGCCCTGAAGGTAAATGCCATCTGCTTTACCATCTAGCTCTAGCAGGATTGCAGTAATTGCAGTGAAAGTGAATAGACCCTACATTAGTGTGCAGCTGCTTGTAATTTATGTTCCCTAGATCAGCATTTCTCAAACTGGAGGTCCTGATTCAAAAGGGCATCTCAAGGCTATTATGGAGAGGGGTGTGTGCAAGATGATATGGTACTGCCACCCTTACTCCTGTGCTGCTGCTGGCGGATGCGCTGCCTTCAGAGCTGGATGGCCAAAGAGTGGCAGCTGCTGGTCGGGCACCCAGCCCTGAAGGCAGCGCTGCCGCCAGCAGCAGCGCAGAAGTAAAGGTGGTATGATATACTATTGCTGTACCCCCACCTCCAGTTCCCCCTCCTCCCAGCAGTGTCCTCTTTTTGGGAACTTGAAATATGGTAACACTACTTTCCACTTTTTGAAAGGCTTCAGCATCTTTGAAGAGAAAGGATAATGATTACATGCTTCATTTAGTGCCCCTATGAGTATATATGGTAGCTAAGCTTGCTACCACTTTTTGTGGGGGTTGGAGAGGTCAGAGCCTGAAATATTTCCAAAGGAGGGCCAAGCAAAAAAAGTTTGCGAACCCCTGTTCTAGATCATTTTTAAATCATTTTATTGTTATTTTATTTATTTTTTGTTTGGAGGAAGAACTTGACAACAAGACATTGTTTTATAGAAAGGGAAAGAAGAAAAAAAAACCCAAACCCCAGGTTGTCCTTTGCGTAATGATTTCACTCAAATGCTAAACTAATTTTCCCCCCAGCATTCTTTGTTCCTTTGTTTACGTGGATCATAACCTGAATTCTGAGATTTTTGCATTATTAAAGGGCCATAAGGTGCACAAGGGCTTCATTCGTTATTCATGTATTTTTAATGGTAAGTGCCAGCTCCCCCGAGATGATGAAATGTATAAATACCTCTTTGTAAATAGCTGATAATGATAAAAGAAGTTCCTGGGTCATTAATATCTGCCTGCTTTTATATTGCTTTGTTATACCTGTCTGTGTGCTGTTTTTGTGCTGAGAATTTGCAGCTGAAATACATCAAGGCTATTGCTTTCTACAGCTGTGTACCTAACTTTCTCTGTATACAACTCGAGCATATACATAAGTTTACACATACATTGTGTGGGTATACATAACTATGTATACATGTGTATATATAGTACCTATAATAGACATATAAAGACAGATGCTTATTATAATAAATATACTAACTTGTGCACATATATGTATGAATGTAGGTTATTGAAAGATTTTCTGTAATCATAACCAGATCTACAGATGCCATCTAGGTAGCAAGAAGAGTTCAAAACCTAACGCTAACTGATTAGCGGCACTGTCAGTGATATCTAAGCAGCATGAATTGTGTGTTGTGTACAGAAGAACAATGTTAACAGCTTTACTTAGAAACAAGCCACATAACATGTGCGCACACACTGCCTCAATATGGGAGATGTTTGTGTTTCTCAGAGTGTTGACTTTCACTGTGGCTGGAAAATTCCATTTTCATCTCAAATGCTGTTTAGTATCATGTCTTCCTGGACATTACAGTTTGTAATGTTTGTCACTGGAGTGGTGGGAGTACTTTCTATAGCTATGAGAAATTTAGCAAAGCAGTGGACTGAAGAGTGGAGTGGAGACTAGCATACCGTGGTCTGATGCTCAGCATTGGGTTTGTTTATAAAGCGTCTGGGAACTTGATCTAGAGAATTATGATTTTGTCAGAGCTGAACCCCTTTGGAAACAATAATTATTTTATCATCGTATGATTTCTTTTTCTTTAAAAGTTGAAAAAAGGGACTTCTGTACCAACCAGGCTGAGGATCTCCAAAAGCCAAGACACCCTTATGCCTCTATTCCCTTTGGTCTACGTGGTCTTAATGGAATTTTCTATTGGTTTATTAGGCTCTGAGGTGAAAATAAGTGATTCAAAGCTGCCTTGTAGCAAATACTGAAGCTGTTTGAATGCTGCTGTGAGTTTCAGAGTAGAAAGCTTGGGCAACAGGAGATGGTTGAATTCAATTAGACACCGTTCAGTGGAATTTTTTTCATGTTTATTTGAGCATTTGGAACTCTGTCCAGTAAAGTTCACCTGAATAAATAAGACTGTGCAAAGGATCACAAGAACAGTTGAGTAAAATGGAGAGAAAATCCTTTATAACATGCAGTGATAATGAATGGAAGAGAGAGAAATTTACCGAGGATAAATCCCTGGAGAGATTGTGTTGATGTTCGGATGTCGGAATGCAAGATTGGTTTGTAATTTGGTGGTTAATCCCGCACTTCCTCTCCAGCTCTCAGTTATTTATTCAGAATGTACTACAAAGGGCTCAGTGTTGGCAGTGTTGTGTCTTCTGGAGTCAGATCTGAAGAGTCCTTCTGGGTCTATCATGAACCAACGATAACATGTTTGGGCGTACAAGGGTGGGCAACAGTTGACAGAGACTTGTGAACAAGTGCCTCGTGGCCTCCTGTCCACAGAGTGATATTAGCATCATCTGCTTTCTTCAGCAGAGGATGAACACTTCAACCACAGTTTTGTGGAAAACAAAGAGTCTTTGGAAGGGAAAAAGTAGGTTGGCCTCAGAATGAAGGGCTGTGAATGAGGCCTTGCAATGTATTTTGATCTGGCTAGGCCCTGTGTGATAGATTCTACCACAAAGATTAAGGGTGAAGCATGGAAGATAACCAAAAACTGTGTTGTGGGGCTTGGTTCAATGGCAGCACTTTGCACTGCCAGGCATGAGATCAGGGTTTGATGTCTGGGTCCCAATCCTTTGCTCTGCAGAATGACAGGGGCAAGGAATGCTTTCGTTATGGCAGCTCTTCTGGCTGATTGAGGGGCAACACTGAGGGGCTGCAAAAAGTGGATTATAAGATCTTTGGGACAGGGGCCCTCTTTTTCTTATGTGTTTGTACAGTGCCTAGCACAGTGGGGCCTGGATCCATGATTGGGGCCACCTAGCACTACAACAATACAAATAAATAATAATAATAATTAAGGGATCCAGTCTATAACTGGAAGAATAGTGGTTGTTTCAGGGGATCTTGAGGGTTTGGGTGGAAAGTTGGAGAATAGGAACAAGGACTGCTCAGAACTTTGACAGAGATTTGAAGGGTGTCTGGAATAATAGTGATTTGGGACTGGGGTAGATCAGAGAAGTGGCAGGCGAGACATGGGTTGGAATTCCTCACATCCCAGAGGAGAGGTTGCTGAATCTGCATTCCGCAGAGCTGAATTTAGTAACATTAAAGAGCAGTAGTGCTGGAACTAGAGGTGCTGCCACACCCCCTGGCTTGAAGTAGTAATAACAAACACCAAATCCATGGTTTCTATGGTTTCTATAATCAGTACCCCCACTATAAGAATTATTCCAGCACCTCTGTTAAAGAGGAGTAGGTGGGGGGTGGGAAGCAGAGTGGAGGCAGTTTCCTCTTGCAGTTTTGGTGGGAGCCAGGAACGTGTCAATAGACCAACAGCTCTATGCTGATGGATATAGGAAATGTTTTCACATTGGAATGTCTGAGGTTTGGGGAGCCTTTTTAGGGGTGTATGTATTTATTTTAATAGTCGGCCAAATGCATTCTATTATTATTTAGAAATAAGAAATCTGACACGTACTGTATCCATCCCAACAATTACTAAGGGACGATGAGCAGTTGCTCTAGAAAGCACAGTGCTGTATTTATCCAACAGCTTTCCCCTCTAATCATGCAGAGTAAGCTCTCTCTCCCAAAACTGCCTGAGCAGTCTGGGGAGTCTAATGACTTGTCACAAATAATGGCTTGGTTATTGTGAAATCTGCTTATTTCTTTTCCTTCTGTTTGTGAAGCAGAATTGCTGACTCCTGCTTTAATGTTGATCCATAGGAGAGTTTCCTTCACTCCTGAAGGTTGTGACCCCCAAGGGAGTTGCAAACAGGTTTTGGGGGGATCACACCCTCTGCCCCTTTCTTTATGATTAGATGTGAGGGGAGATCTGAAATGTTTCGGTTGTAATATGGGGTCACAGATTGGAAGTGCTTGCGAATCACTGCTTTACTCCTGTCTATCCGTTTAAACGGCTCCTGTCACTCTGCTGAGCACCTTTTCTCAATATGGCAATCACAGAAGAGACGGGTCTGCAAGACAGCTACCACACTGTATCGAGGAAGCAGATCACAATTTAACAGGCATGCCAAACTGCTTTTACCTCTTTTTGAAGCCACAAACTTTTATTAAATGTAAGTTCTTCCTGCTGTGGCTTTAATTAGAAGGCAGCTTCAAAATATTGGTAGCTCGTATCTTGCTTACCTAGTCGGCGTGAGGATGCTGAATTAGGGCCATTGCTGAGCAAAGATGTATTTTATTCAACCCCAACAAGAAGACACCTAAGAGGGTATAAGTTCATATCTTATTACTGGTGTCATCAAGGTGCTTATACAAGGCGGTGAGAGACACTTTCCCAGGCACCCAGAATTATGGATTGATCTTGTTACCCCTCTGCATTAGCAAAAGAGACAGTTGCTGGAGATAAACAAAGAGAAGTTTATTAACCAAGATAGTTAGTCAAGTGACAGTGAGCAAGAGTAGTAGGAACAGATACGGTTACAAATAAAACAAAAGTATAATATGCTTCTAGGAGACTAAACTTAACTTTAGCAGGCTAAAATCTTTGTCTAAGTTCAGTTTCTCAACTAAACTCCCGGCATCTCCAGCTTTTATGGATACTAAAAGGTTCCAGCTTTCATGGATACAAAAAGGGTTATCCTTTTTGCTCCCTCAGTGATGGACCACCACAGCATTCCTTTTCCTTCGCCTCATAGACCAGAAAACCTTTGAAATATATCCCCTCGAAAGGTACCCTCCAGACAAAGGTCTTCTCCCCCACTGTTTGTTTTTTGATGTGCTGACACCATATTGTCTTTCTTGTTCTCCTGTTAACTTGCTTTTCCCGTTGCTTAATATGCAAATGAGGCTTGGTTTGTGTTGACCTGCACAGTGCTTGGTTGACATTGGAGACCTAGGCAGATGGGCAAATCAACATTCCTTTGTCTGTGAAAAACCCGTTTATCTATCCTGCCTGCTTACATAGTTTATACATATTTTTGGTACATACCTACAACTTCTTGAATAACCCCATATTTCTGACACTATTTATTATGGCCAGTATCAGATAAGCTTTCATTTGCAACTTTCTTTATAGATAAATACTAAGGCCAGGTCTACACTAACCCCCTCATTTGAACTAAGGTACACAACTTCAGCTACGTGAATAACATAGCTGAAGTTCGAAGTAACTTAGTTCGAACTTACCTCGGTCCACACGCGGCAGGCAGGCTCCCACGTCGACTCCGCGGTACTCCTCTCGTCTAGCTGGAGTACCGCAGTCGACGGCGAGCACTTCCTGGTTCGACTTATCGCGTCCAGACAAGACGCGATAAGTCGAACCCAGAAGTTCGATCGCTCGCCGCTGAACTACCGGGTAAGTGTAGACCTACCCTAAGACAGCAATCTGTTAGGTGTAATGAGTTTGTCAGGAATTGCATAGGAGTTGCTGTTGCATGACAGGAATCCTTTGCCAGTGGGCATTGAGAGGAATAAGGTGAGAGCCTGTTCTTACTTCTTTGAAAAGGCAGACTTAATGGCCGGGATTTGGAACTAAAGATGGAAAGGCACAGGCTGAGGGTTTCTTCTCTTAGAAGGTCATAGCTGTGTAGAACAAACAGCCAAAGAGGCAAGTAATGCAATACATGGAGTAAAGGTAGTACAGATAAGGTCTTAAGGCCACACAACATTTCTGTACCGGCCTGCCAAAAGGCAGGAGATGAACTGGGTATCCCTTCTTCTCCCCATTCTCAGTTTCTTTGGTTTAGCCTGAATTTGAGCCTCCGCTTCTTTCAGCAGAGGTTTACAGTGGGTTTCTTCCATTCCCATACATGCCTACAGGGAGAAAGACCAATCTTTCCAAGCTTGTATGCCTAAACTTAGATAGCCAAATCTACAGTGTCTTCTTTTCACGCTAGCAATACTGAGCACTGGCAGCTCCCGCTGCAGCCCCAACTCCAGTATTGGAGAAAATAGATGAGTGTAGTCAAAATTGCTATTCACACATAGGCCTTCTCAGTGTCTGTTGTTTAACCATATGTGCCAATATGTATGCTTGAGACGTTGGTAGGTACAATTACTGCACAAAATACCATGAATCTTCTTTTAGACATCCCAGAGAGATAATTTGAACATAATGAAGATCTATAGTAATCAGATAATTACTATCGATTGCTCTTTAGACATCTTGATGAGGTAATTAGGGCACAGTGGAAAGAAGCTGGAACTGATTGATTGGCACAGCCTTAATCTAAAAGGTTTCTAATTATGTTTCTTTTATTCTAATAGCTGATAAACAAACATCATTTTAGCTTTAGAATTTGTCAGGTGCCAGGTTCGTTGGGGACATCAGCTTTCTCTATTATGCTAACTAGATACTGAATGTGATCAACATCAGCTTATTATGCCTCACAGCTGAAGTGGAAGCAACTTCAATTACCCCATCTTTTACTTTCTCTTCTTGGTTTCAAAAGCCCCTGATTTCTTGTTGGTGTGTGATGCTCGGTGTGCACCTGTATGTGCATGACACATTTTGTGTATATGTCAAAGCTAGTGCATGTGTGGCGATCATGTCTCTGGCTGGGTTTATGTACAAAAGCAGCATATGTACATTTGTGCTTTCGTCTTTCATATACATTGCCAGTGGCTGGCCTATATGTCATTGTGGGTAGCATGCAGAGATGGAGAGGAGGCCCAGTATTCACTGGAAGTGTCATTACTCATAGGCATATTATTAATTTTGTGTATCAGAGCAAAAGCCTTTCTCCCCTGTCTCTCATCAGCTATTGATCAGTCACTGTTCCAGTCGCTCTCTGAACCACTGTGCTTTCACGCTTAGATACACACCTCTCTATCACAATGTTCTCTCTACTGTTTTGCATTTTTTCAGTAGGTAATAATAGCCCTGTGACAAACAGGTTTCTTATTTCTGTTGCATATTCTGATTCACAGGGATAATCTGATTGGTTGGTGCCAATCACCAGTTGTATATTGATTGGACCACATCTTCATGGGTAGGAGTTCTTGAAGGCAACACATTAAAGTTGCTATTAAGTGCCCTCAGGGTGTGCAGTGTCCAGGGTGACGCTTTATCAATATGCAACCATTGCCTGTGTGCTTTGACCTAGACTCTCTCAAGCAATTAAGCAAGCCGAACATGGGACCCAGCCTGTCATGTCATGTATTTCCTAAAAGGAAATATGGGTGTGTGCAGTTCTCCTGGATAATACAGGCTGTATTTGTGTTCTTGCACTAGAAGTGTGATGTAAAGCCATAAGAGTGATGTGTGTGATTATTCTCAGACCCCTTCATACAAATGTCTTTCCTGTAATAGATGTGTGTTTACCTTACAATGTGTGTGTGCATCTCTTCCCTGTTATACCGATTACCTCGTCCGCTGCAGCTGATCTTCAGGGAGCAGAAGTATAGCATGTCCTTTCATGGCACATTTGTATATAATGTCTCTTTGATCACAAGCTGACCACTTTCTATCGTTCTTACTGAATCTTAGGAAGTTCTACAGCTGGAGAGGCAGATGGGAGGACAGTTACTGGAAGAACCAAAGGCTCTGCATTTTAAGGGAAGCACCCATAACCTCCGTCTGTCCATTCATGACATTGCCCATTCTCTCTGGAAGAGCAAATTGCTGGCTAAATACCAGGTAAAAATGACAGAATGCCTGGATGATGGCTGAAATGCATGGGTCAGAACAGAAGGGCTTAAAAAGACGTAGCAATACACAGTTGCGCAGTGCTCTTTTAAAAATGAGACACAGTGACTGTTCAGGCTCCTGTACGCTGAAGGTCTTGAGGCTGATGCCCATAACCAGCCCTCTCCCCTCTGTTACACACAGTGTGTATTTTCAATTTATTTGAGCAGTGGAGAGGAGTAAAGGGCTTGGTTTATTTTAACCATCCTCATTAGTGCCAGGCCACATAACAGGCCATGGTTTGTTTAATTTGGACTGAAAATCAAAATTCCCTTTTAACACTGCACTGGGAGAGAGAGATTGATCAGAACAGTCAGAAAATCTGCTTCTGGCAGGAAAACTCAGTGCTGAGAGGACAGGACTTAGGGCTCGGCTGCACTAGAGAGTTTACAGCGGCGCAGATGCTCTCTAATGTAGCCACTTTAAGCCCACGGGAGAGGGCTCTTCCATTGGCTTAACTCCTCGAGCCCCCACGAGCGGGAGTAGCTATGTCGGCGGGAGAAGCTGTTCCGCTGACAGCGCTGTCCACACCGATGCTTCTGTCAATGTAACTTACGTTGACTTATTCACCCCCCTGAGTGACACAAGTTATGCCGACATAAGCTGTAGTGTAAGCATAGCCTTAGAGTCAAGGGCTAGGGCAGGGGTCGGCAACCTTGCAGAAGTGGTGTGCCGAGTCTTCATTTATTCACTCTAATTTAAGGCTTTGCGTGCCAGTCATACATTTTAATGTTTTTAGAAGGTCTCTTTCTATAAGTCTATAATATATAACTAAACTATTGTTGTATGTAAAGTAAATAAGGTTTTTAAAATGTTTAAGAAACTTCATTTAAAATTGAATTAAAATGCAGAGCCCCCTGGACCGGTGGCCAGGACCCGGGCAGTGTGGGTGCCACTGAAAATCAGCTCGCGTGCCGCAGGTTGCCTACCCCTGGGCTAGTGCATGGGGTTACTACCAGCCAAAATACGTGCACCCTTCAGCCTGTTTCCAGCACTGGCCACTAGGGCCCAGTATTGAGATTTGTGGGCTGCACTAAGCATTTTAGAGGATCCAGGCCCTTTGTACTCAAGCAGCAAGTTCAGCCTTAAGGAAGCGGGAAAACAAACACACCCACCTTTGTAATGTGTGTGGGAGAACAGCAGAGCATCCTGGGATTTGTGAAGGTTTCTCATCACTGAGGGGCAAGGGGAGGATTTGCTTATTTTTATTCTGTTTCCACTGCATGGTTCAGTTGCTAGTCTCCAGTGCAGTGAATGCTTTTCATGGGACGCTAGACTGGGGACCACCATCCTGAAGAGCAGAGCCAAGTCTTCTTCAGAGAGGCCGCACAGTATCTCCTCACAACACTCATGACCCCATTTGCCATATTCATTCCAGAGCCTTTTGGGAGATGAGCTGAGAATTTGCTGAGATACATTAAGACTGTAGATGCCCAGGATCAGTTCAAATTTTTCCTTAATTTTCCTCCTGCAGGAAATTCCCTTTTACCACATCTGGAGCGGGTGTCAGAGAAATCTACATTGTACCTTCACCCTGGAAAGGTTCAGCCTGAGCACGCTGGAGCTGGTTTGTAAACTCTGCGTACGGCAGGTCGAAGGAGAAGGACAGATCTTCCAACTCAACTGTACGGTGTCAGAGGTAAAGGGCCCAGCCATTTCCACACTGACCGGTGAGGGGGGAAAGTGGCAGTACTTTTCCAGCAAACATCCTTTAACCTGACCACATTCCCTATGCTTGTTTGCCGTGCCCATTAATTCTCTCCTTCCTCCTGGTGGCTGGGAGGTACCAGGCTTTCCAACCTCTCTCATAACTGCTGTAGGTACTTTCCCTTCTCATGGATGCTAGATAGCAGGTGTGGATTCAACTGCCTTCTTCACTCTTTCCTCATGCGCCTCCTGGCTGCTCAGTTGGCTTTTCTCTACTCCCTCCTCTGGAAGGAAGCATCCTTCCTTCAAAACGGACAAGGGAAGAATGGTAGGTGTGTTCCTGGTGTCTCTCCCTGGAGCTTCTTATTTCCCCCGCGCATGCGGGGGGGTCTGTTTCTTCAGCACACCTTCTTTTACATTATAAAACATAGGATGGTCATGTCCCCTGATGTCCACTCACTCTTCCTACGTCCATAGTTCTCGAAGCACCAAGTACTCATGAGGAAGAAGTGTGCTGGATCGATATGAACCAGTTCACTCTGAGCACTGACAATAACTGCTATGAAATAGGAAGCATAAGACATTAGATATGCAACAGGCTTTCCCTTCAGTCTTTGCTCCTGCCAAGTTCCAGCGGCTTGGCGTACTGCATAAAACTGCCCACGGCTAACTAAAAGTAGAGCTGTATTTCAATGAAATGGAAATGGCTAGCAGACCCTAATGACCCATTCTCCTGAAAGGCACCAGTCCTCTTTTATATTGAACTGTATTTAGTTATTTATACATGTCTAAATTACACCGATCAGATGTGCCCTGAGCACACACATGTTCTTTAAAAACCAGTATACACCATTTACCGAACCAGTGCCAATTTTCAGGGTCCTCTAAAACAAGTTTCCGTGATCACACAAAAAAGCAAAAGCCTGAGGAAATAGATGAGCCTTACATCTCACTTTGCAGATATGTGTCATGACTGTTATGTAAAATCAGACTCTTTTGGTCACTAGAGGAATGGAGAAATGTAGAAGGTACAGAAGGGAAATATCTCCAGGAGCAGCAGTAGGGAAGATAATCTGTAGATTTGAGAGCGGATGAGTGCATCAGCCTAGGGAAAAGAGCATGAGGGGCTGGGTCTTTTGCTTTGTTGTGTCCCAAAATTAATACCACAGGGGAAAAAGTGTTGGAGATGACACAGGAATTTGGTAGTGGCACCCTGCTATGGTCCCTTTTTTTGGTGACCTTAGCACTTGAAGGACTTTAGTGCTTGGGGACAATAAAACTTAGTGGTAAGTGATTCTTTGAGGTTGAGGATAAGGGCAAATTCTACCGCTCTGACCAGCCATTGCTTCACAAAGAGCCACTGGCAGCATCTGTGAGCAAGGTGGGACCACACACCAAGCCATGTTAGCCACAGAGCCCTCTGATGGGAGTCCCACAAAGGAGGAGAATTGCTATCCATCTGGATTTTAACAAGCTTGTCTCATGTCATACCAGCTAAGTGCCCGGGACACTCAGTGCCCTGAAATAACTTGAATGGTGCAACATCAGAAAATGATGATGTATGAGTCAGCGTGGAAACCTTGTGAGATTTACATCAGGAAATCACAACCTCATGATGAAACTGAGAGCAATGATATCATTTGTCTAGGAGTCAAGCACATGTGGCAATAATAGGGAAATAAGTAAAAAAGTGGTTGCAGCGTGTTGAAGTTGGTGAAATGTCAACATCTCCTTATGGTCTGACCTTTACAAGTAGAGCAAGTCTGGCAAAGGAGAGTCCAGGCTCAGATACCAGAAAGGGGTGAGGAAACCTACTATAATCACCAAAACAAATGCCGTCTTTCTCCCGTGTCCTTTGTCTCGTACATGGTATGATATAACAGACAGATTATATCTTGTTCCCCGGCTCATAGTCAAAGATAGTCCTCTTCTATAGAGAAATAAGCTTGTCCTGCAGAGCCATCCTCTCTCTTTTCCACAGCCTGCTACAGTGCGGTCACCATTTCCTCCCAGAGTTTCATGAGCCCTTTGACTTACAAACATCTTTAGTTAAAGGCCCCACTGCCATTAATAAGGAATGTCACAATACCATAGCAACCACTGGCACTTTCCAATCCACAGGCCATATCTCTGAGCCACACAGCTTCACCCTTGCTGGCTTTGGATGGCGTTTTCACTTTCCAGGCCCAGCAGGTCTGCAAAGTTCAATAACTGTACAGCTCCAACAACAACAGAAGAAGCAGAATTTGGGAGGGGTAGGGGTCTGTCCCTTTGATGACTGCCTTCTGTCTGGATTGCACATATGCCGGCTGATGAAAAGGATGGTGGATCGGGAATAGAAATAAATGAAAAGGAAGTTAAAATCCCCCCCTTTGTGGAGAAATGATCCTTCAAATAGTATGGCTGCAACATAAAGACTTTCTGTCAGTTCCTCCAGGATAAAGAAATTGATTTCTTTCATGGTTCTGTTGCAGTATGATCCTTCCGGATATGATGGACGGGAGAAATGTCAGTGAGGTTTCTCCACAAGCAGCTGATAGTTTAGATAAATAAATAACTAAATCCGTGTAAATGAGATGGTTGTGAGAGTTGGCAAGGAAAATAGAGAGGCATTTATCTGCAAGTCAGCAGCTGAGAGTCACGCCCGGTTGGTAGTGACCCAAAAAGTCATTGTTGTCATCAAGGGACTGCTGACCTATGTGAAAATGTTGGTAGCCTTCATCCCCAGTTCCTAATGAAGGGTGCCTTGGATAGTATGGTCATTGGCACTCCAAAAGTATCATTAGATCAGAGAGATAAACAGAATGACTCTCCCCCCCCCCCCCCCCCCCAAGGCACTAATTGCATCCTACCTGGCAAGGACTGCAAGGCATGAAGAATGAACTATCCTCTCACCCCTAAGGTACTTCTTTCCACTTTTAAGGACTGGACAAGGTATTTGCAGGAAGTTTGCATTGAACCTTCCTGTGCTGTACATGCTCTCTGGATAGACAGAGGACTTCAATCTCCATGGCTTGACAAGCTGACACCTTTTATCAGTCGCTACATTCATTTTTAAAACTTAACACCCACCCCCACCCCGCCATCCTCTTCCTGAATTATTCTCCCTTTTATGTTCTTTATTATAAATCCCTATAAAGGAATCGGTCAAAGGGTCAAGATCAGCCAGGCACAGCTACAGTGGAGTAGGCATCATTATTACATAGTTAGAGCAGCTACTCAAATGTAACCATTATTCTGGCTGAGAAGAGAGAGTGGATAAACTCTGTACTGTGAAATCATGGAAAGTGAGTTCTTGTGGGTGACTTTCGGAAGGGCTGTGAGATGACAGCCGAAAGTTACTTATTCTGCAGGGCCCTGACAATGTGCACCATTACCCATAACATCTGCTTGGTTATTGGGTGTAAAGTTGTATATTCAACTGGGGACAACATAACATTAAAGACAGATGGTAAAACTACTATCATAAACAATTACTGTATAAGTGCTGCATTGAGGTAATCTCTGATTTAACCTAGCAGAGAAGTGAAAGAATTGGTGGTAGCTTTAATGAAACTCAAGTACACACTATAATTATCTTCTGCTTATATGTAATAGGATCTGGTAATGGTTTCAAAGGGAACAAAAATAGCACTATTGTCTTGTGCTGTGATTCCGTCCATCAGGGATTAATGCAGGGAGAGAATAGCACTCATTAGCGAGGCTACGGATCATGAGAATTGCTCGTCGTTGTTGGTGCATGGTGACATTCCCACATCCACTGTGGAAGGGACAGTCAGTGCTAAGAGCTGATATGCAGGACTCTGTCACCACATGAATTAGCTTTTATTGCTGTGCTAGTTTTGATGGCAAGAAGCACGTGACCTCTTATGCATAGGATGGCTCTTAACCTGCTAGACTGCAGTACAAAAGGCCTGGGATGAAGCTAGTGTGTGTGTGTGTGTGTGTGTAGTTGTCTACATCTAAGGAAAGAATAATGGCCTTGTGTGGTTAGGACTCTGAACTGGGAGACATGAAATCTAAGTCAAATTCCTGGCTCTGCCACAGATTCCCTGTGTGGCCTTAGGCACGTCTCTTAATATCTCTGTGCCTCAGTTTCCTACCTTTAAAGTAGGGATTATAATGCATCTTTCTCCCATCCTTTATATGTCTTTGCTTAGATTGTAAACTCTTCAGGTCAGGGAGAGTGTCTTACTACGTATCTGTACAGAAACTTCCCCAATGGAATCTGATCTTAGATGGGGCTACTGGAATACTCATGATAATATATGTAAATATGAGAGAGTGGGAGGTTTTCAGTCTTTGCCCAGTCCTTAATTCTAGAAGACCCCAATTCTCCACAAAGAAATAGGCCCTTGTGCAGAAATCTTTATGAACCCTGCAATATTCCTGAGTTTCATAAAGGCAAGCAGCCAATGACAGAGCCACAGCCAAACTTTCAGAGTGCCCTGAGAGCTCTGTCCATTGTATGCTTTGGCCTGGAGATGGAGAGGGAAAGTGCCACCTCTATGATGCTCCCAGTCACCACTGCCCTGAAGAACCTATATTCTGTGTCTTCCATGTTCCAGGATACCAGCCTCTATTACAGGGTTAATATCTCCAACAGGGTCAATGTTGTAGAATTTATTGTTGACACAGGCCTTTTGCTCACACACACCAAGCACTGTAGTTTGGTATGTGATTAGAGAGACCATAGTCAGTAGTTCTTTGTGCACATTAGTGTGAGGATACTTCTCCAGCTATGTATTTCAATGTCTATCATAAAAAGTCATTATGTAACATTTTAAAAAAGCATGGATGGAATGGACTAGATACTAAAAGGAGTAGATAGAGGAATGGAGACAAGGGAAATACAGAATAATTCCACCCAAAGCCCAAGAATGGAGCTCGCAACATTGACACCTGCTATTCCCAATATATACTAGTGTTTACGGAATCCTAAAACCTTGACCGGTTGCTGCTAAAGTGTGAGGTGTAGGCTAATGAGATTTC